GAGGAGCAGGAAAGGAAATCTCCTTGAGCCTCTGAAAGGGAGGCTTGGAGGTGGAACATCAGGACCTCTAACTCCCAAGATTTCTATCCACCCAAGCTTCTTAAGAGGCCAACAGCATCCCCCATAACACTAACAAGATCTGAGGAGGAAATGGCTTCCTCAACCCCTGCATACCTGGCCCCTTTGCGCCTTACACACCCCCTGTGTGCGTGTACACTGGGTAGCACCTCCCTTAGGCAGGGACCTCTCCTCCATGAATCCAGTACTCCATCCCCTCCTTACATCATGACCATGCTGGTCCTGCATACCAAGATGGCCATGTGGCCTTCCATACTCATACTCAGAACTGCCCAAGACTCCCACAAGCTCAGGCTGCACAGCATCTCTTTGCACATCCATCTCTGCACACTCATGCCTACAGAAGAGACATGCATGGAGCCTCCCCACACTCCTACATGCTCAGCCATGAGCCCACCCAGCTCTTAGTGCATGCCCCCAGCTGTATACACACAACCTTATAACCTCAGCCTCCTTATGATTTCTCGCCTCCGTCACTAGGATTCACATCACCCTCATGCAAACACATTCCTTATTCCTGATCCCTGAAGGCTAGAGCTCTATTCATTCTCACATACATACATACATACATACACACACGCACACACACACACACACACACACACATAGTTGCAGACACACTCATGCACACATACAAGTTACCCCACAGTCCCTGGACCCCCAACTTCCATGGCCGACGGCTGTACAGCCAGATGGGCTCTGTGATAGTTGGTGGGGAAAGATGAGCTCTGACTGCTCCGATGGAAGAAGCCACACTGGGAAGTTGAGGGAGGAGGGGAGCAAAAGAGGCAGAGGATGGAAAGACTGAAGACGAGGGGGCCTTATCTCTGCTGTTTCTGGGGTGCAGGGGGCAGGCATCCTGGGGCCAGTTTCATGAAGACATCAATCTCCCTTAAGACTGGGCAGGTTCCCCACTGCCACTCCAGAGCCTGGTCCACTTGCCAAAAGGTGTGCTCACTCTGTGATCAATCCCAGGGGACAGGTGGGAAGTAGGGCAGTGCCCTGCAGAGCCCAAGGACATGCACGGTTCTGCAACCATCCCCAGATGTGGCGTGTGGCTCAGAAACGATGAGCCCTGGTGATGYATGTGACTGCCTGTACTGATATGTGGGTGGTGTGCTTTTACGATGCACTCCAGATGTCAATGGGATTCTGTTACAGCTGGGTGTGTTCAAGAATGGTTCCATGTGAACCTGTTATGTGGAAGCTCAAAGTCCAGCCTTGCAGGCAGCTTCCTGGAACTAGTTCTCCACACTTGGTGGCCTTTTGGGCCACAGCTTTCTTTCCAGCCTTCACTGCCACACTCATTAAACCAGACCATACTTCCCCAGCTCCATGTCTTTGCCTACCAGGGGCCTTCTGGAAGGCTCAGGCCCCACCCACCCCATCTCCCCATATCCAGATTCTATCAACTCACCTTCCTTTAAGACCCAGCTCCGCAGCCCTCTGCTCTTGAGTCTCCCTTCCTCTGAACTCCCCCTTTCTCAACTCAACCCCTTCTGCCTTGTCTTTGACTGTGAGGCTCAATAACCCCACTATGCTACAAAATTCCTGAGAACAAGATCTGCATCAGACTTATCTTTGAAACACTCAGGGCTGGATAGAGTCCCTGGTGCATGCAGGGTCAGCGCTTAATGTAGATTTGCTGAATATATGGGTGTGAAGGTGAGTGAGAGTGCCACAGTTCAAATGTCTGCCTGCCCAACCAGGAAGTCTAGCCTCCAGCAGGTGCTCCCCTCCCCAAGCCTCACCTTCCACAGGAGCAGCACCAGCAGCGCTAGCACCAGCAGTCCGGCCAGCACAGCCAGGAGGATGACCCACCAGGGGACTCCTTCTGCCACCACAGCCATGGGGTCTAAGTATACCATCACTGGAATCTGAGGAATAAGGGGTTAATGGAGTGAGAGCTGGAGGGAGAAGGAAAGAAGAGAGTCTCCCCACCCAGCCAGCCCAGCCCTGCAGCTCACCACAGTGGAGGCATCTTTGAGCAGCAAGTTCTTGATGGAGGACTTCACTGTGATGTTGGCTCGGACAATCACTTCCAGGGACTTCACAGCTGAGTACTCCTAAGGGAGTGGAGAAGGAGACCCTCCTCCTAAATGCCCCACGTTCCCCTCACTTTCCCCCAGCTCCTGAAATTATAAATGGAATGGTGCCCAATGCCAAGGTTGATTCTGTCTGTCTTGGTTCAGGAATATGCTGCATTTAGACAAGAACAAGGTAGCGATGAATCCCAGTGGGGCCTCTGCAGAAGAAGAAACCCAGCCTGAAGCCCAGCAGAGCCCTCACCTCCAGAAAGGTGCTATTCCACAGGCGGCCCCAGACGTGCAGCACAGCTGCACGGTCAAAGCTATAGAGTGGACAGCTGAACACCACACAGTTGGCAGTACCCCGGGCGCAGTCCTGAGGACAAGAACAGGCAGGGTTCAGAGCTGCTCAGCCCCACCCCATTAAGCCTACCATCTCTCTTATTTTCTTTTCAGGACCCCTAACTTCTCTCCTCCAGGAAGTCTTCCCAAACTAACCCTATTGTCCAAAATAGCTGCCTACCCCAAATCTGAGCTATTTGGCTTTGAAATGCATGAGGGGCACAGAGGGGATCTCTTAACAGGAAAAGGCAAAGTAGCTTCTCCAACTGATTCTTATTGCTACCTTATGATGGTTTCATTTTTGAGCACCTACTATCTGCCAGCAATTACCCCACTTAAGTATCCTGCACAGTGCATATTATTAACTTTTTTTTTTTTTTTGCAGTACTGGGAATTGAACCCAGAGGTGTTCTACCACTGAGCTACATCTCTAGTCTTTTGTATTTTTTATGTTGAGACACGGTTTCACTAAGTTGCTCAGGGTGGCCTCCCTCCTGCTTCAGCCTTCTGAATTGCTAGGATTGCAGRCATGTACCACCAACCCCAGAATTACTAACATTTTTCAAAGGAGGAAATTGAGGACCAGGGATGCCAGGTGACCATCTAGCAAAACTATTAAGTTGTGGAGCAGGTATTGCAAGTCAGGTCCACGTTATACAAAACCACAGGCCTGCACTAAGCTCAAACTCACTGAAGGAGGAGAAGGTGACACAGGATCTGCCGGAAGGACAGGAACTCAGTCTGTTCCTTCCAAGACTGACCTAATCCATTTGACCAAGTTGCCACTAATAACCTATTTGTATAAAAGTTATGTTATATTCATCATGCCACAGTCCATTTACAGAAGAATGGCTTTGASAGTGCTTGAAGTTACTTTGAGTCGTCCTTTAGTTTGCAACTTTTGAGCAATTCAAGAGCCCTTAGTCAATTTGTTTTAAAAGCAAGACTATCTGCCTTAACTTTGTGTATGTTATTTTCATATGTTATGTTAAATGAAACAAGCCAGGCATGGAAAGACAAATACCACCTGATCTCACCCATATGTGGAATCTAAAAGAGGTGAACTCAGAAGTAGAGAGTTAGCATGCTTACCAGGGGCTGGATGGGCGGGAGTGAATAGGAAATGTTGGTCAAAGGATACAGTTTCAGTTAGGCAGGAATAATAAATTCAAGAGCTCTATTACTACTGTACATTGTGATGACCATARCTAATAACAATATATTGCATTCTTGAAAATCATCAAGAGCTGGGTGCAGTGGCACATGCCTGTAATCCCAGGGCTCAGGAGGCTGAGACTGGAAAATCATAAAAGAATTCAAAGCCARCCCCAGCAACAGTGAGGTGCTAAGCAAACTCAATGAGACCCTGACTCTAAATAAAATATAAAGTAGGGCTGGGGATGTGGTTCAGTAGTTCAGTAGTCAAGTGCCCCTGAGTTCAATCCCCGGTACTGCACCCCCTCTAAAAAAAAAAACAATTAGATTAAAAAAAAAAAAAAGAACAAGGTTGTAACTCAGTGTTAGAGCACCTGCCTAGGATACATAAGGCCCTGGATTCAATCCCTAGCACTACAAAAAAAAAAAAAAAACAGATCTCAGAGACCTATTCTATCCTGTATAGATATTTTATATAAATCTAAGGCAAATGGATTGCTAGCTAACTGACTGGTCAAGGGTTCTGCTTGGAGTGAGCGCTTGGAATTGGGGAGTATGTGGGATCAGCAGTTGCCTCATAGGCAMCCGCTCCCTCCAGCTGTGCTGCAAACTGTCTTGTCAACTTGTCCTTGCCCAGGTGTTTGACCACCACGTCTTGACAGGCCACTCTCCCTGAATGTCCACCACCTGAAGCTCTGGACCCCCACAGCATTCCTATCATGTTATGCCCCAATTGTGTTCACCCTTCCCTCACCAGGGTGACGTTTTTCTTCTTCTCAGCAGAGGACACTGGCCACCAGGACGTGGTGGGTGCCAGCTGCTCACGAGGCTCCTGCTGCTCCGGCTGCTCCAGCTCTCGTCGCCTCCTATCCCTACTGTCCACATCCTACATAGACAGAAAGGGAAGGACCAGTGACATTCCTCCAAATGCAGGGATCCTGAGGTCACATATCCTCCACACAACCCACACATGCTCCCCAGGCCCCTAACATCCCTGCCAAGTCCTACCCTGCCTACCCTGCCTAAACCTCACCAGGCGGAGGATGTTGGGCCTGGGGGAACAGAGCCCTTTCTGCCCAGGCCCCTGACCGCCCTCCAGCTCCACTCGCATGGGATACAACAGCCACTTCCCATTGGCAATCTCGTGGGGCCACATGATGTTGAGGAAGGCGGAGCCCAGGGTGTTGAGCGACTGGCCTTGGTTGGAGACCTGTAGGAACAGAAGGAAGGGCGCTCAGTTTCTGAGCAGACCCTAAACCCACAGAGACAAGGGGAAAAGGCTGAGGCGATGGCATCAAGAAGCACAGTTTCAGCAAAGACTTGGGAACAAGACCAGATGAGGCACCATTCTCTCCCCGGAGGCATCCTGAGCAGGCATGCGGGAGGCTCCAGCCAAGAGAGGACAGAATTCTAAAGACAGACATCAACTCTTCCCCAAGGTCCCATCCCTCAGACCAAAAGGAAATGAAATGGCCAGTCAAAAAGAACAGGAGATGGTTAGCTGAGGACCCAGCTCCAACATATGCCCACAGCCAAGGTCCAGGTGTAAGGCAGAGGCCCCAAAATCACTGGACCATGCAGCCCCTTATCCTCTGGGCCAAGAAGGGAGAAGGGCCATGAAGGGCCCATATACCAAGACACTTACCGTGACCTCATACTTGACCTTGCTGCCCACATCCCGCTCAGACCGCATAGCACTCTCACCCCTCACCACACCGGAGAAGAAGAGTTGCTGTGGTACAGCCACCCTGGTATGAAGGGGTCAAAACAGGGGCTGAGAAAGCCTGAGGTCTGGCTGAATGGAGAGCCAGAAGTGAAAGGGCAGGCAAGACAGAGCCCAAGCCAGGGTTTAGGAGTGGGGATACCCCCACCCTCCAGCAGAGCACCCCACTTGGGCAAGGCTTACCCTGCGATGGACAGAGGCAGCTCAATGAAGACACGGGCTCGAGCAGACACTGGATGCAGCTCCTGCTCACTGATCCTAGCATGTACATAGGGGCAGGGGTGGGCAGCAGGCATGGGCACCCCCGTGGGGTTAACRAGGACAGTCCAACTGCTATCATGCTGCCAACATCCTGCCCCACCAGGCTTACGTGGCCAACAGCAGCTCTACTTCCAGTTCTGTGGTCTCAATGGTGATCCCAGAGGTGCTGAGGATGAGGTAGAAGGTGACCTAGGCCAGAGTGGAATGAGAGAGTCATGGGGGTGGGGGGTGGCAGTAGGAGACTAAGGAGCAGCCACTCAGGCAGAACTAAGGGCAGATGTACCCACCTGGGCACCTCTCTTCATAGGGTTCCCCAGCTCACACTCGACATGGGAGGCATTCTCATTGGACAGGCAGAGCGGCTTTTCCTGGAATGGGGTAGGAAGGAAAGGTGAGATTGGGCTACTGGAGCCCTTCAAGACCCCACCCAACCCTGCCCAGGCCCCTCACCACAGGATCCAGGGCCCGGACTCCTGAATAGTGCAGTGAGGCAGGGAGGGTGACCAGGAGCTGGGCTTCATGAGCATCGTCCCCATCAGCCTGGGGCTGGGCGGGGTTGGAGGGCAGGTTGGTGACCATCAGCTCAAGGCCAATGACTGGCTGCCCACTCAGTGCAAACAGGGCCGTTGTTCCATCCACATCCCTGGAGGGTCAGATCTCACTCACTCTAAGGTCAGAACACCCTCCCTGCCCCTCCACTCCTGCCTCCCCCACACTCACCCAGTGCACACTGCCGCCTCAGCATCCCTGGACTCTCCCCCCACCCCAGGTCTCCTGGATCAAACACCAACCCAAGTCAGGTCTTTCTGTGCACCAATGAGAGCCAGGGGATTACCATCCTCATCCCAGTCCACTACTTCTTCCTTTGGGCAAATAACCTTAACCTTTCTAGGCCTCAGTTCTCCATCTGTAAAATGGGACTAATAACTCCTACCTCACATCTGTGAAGACTAAACAATGAGATGGAAACTGTATGTTATGGTGTTGTGAAGGGTTGTTACTTATGCCAGGCTCCTCTGGTGCCCCAGCCCCATCACTGACTCGATTCCCAGTCTTCTGGATGGTCATCTGCTCCTCTCTGGCCTTCTTTCTACAGGGTCAGACCCTCCCTCTGCCTGGTCTTCCTGAGGGTACTCACTCCTCCCTTTCCTTGAGCTCTTGCCATCCCTCCCCCTTCCATGTGCTCCCCACTCCTCTCACATGGGCAGAGGCTGAAACTCTGTGTCGCTGACCCGGGCACAGAAACGGGCATGCACCAGCTGCAGATTGCTCTGACAAATCTTGTCTTCACCACAGCCTTGCTTCAGAAAGTGGATCTGGAAAGCGATTTGAGGAGAGGGTCATTCCTAAGGGGCAAGGCATGGGTYAGATGTGTCACAAGGCATATAGTGGGTTGGAGTATTACAGGATTAAACAACCCAGATCTGCTGTTTACTGGCGGTGTGGTATTTGGATGGTCACTTAGCCACTCCGAGCTGTAATGTGATGGGTGTATTGCCATGCTGTGGTAAAGACGAGCAGATCATTCCATAGCTACACCACATTTCCCCAGCTATGACTGCAGGCACTGAATTCCACATYAAGAATGACAAGAGTGGTAAAGGGTACCACTCCCAGGCTGCCTGTAAGAACTGTGCCAGGAGATTCATATTTCTCCATGCTGGCTGAAAAGCAGAAAGGACCTTGGAGGCCACATTTGATGGTGTGACCACTTTTGATGACAGACCTCCATCAGCCTGGGACCCTAAAGGATTAGAGACTGGAGGAACACCATCCCYGGACTGGAACATGTGGTTTTTTGGGCCATTTAACATTTGGGGGGTCTACTTATTACAGCACCTAGAAACATGAAGAACTACCAGGGTGACATGTAGAAGAGATTTGCAAGCAATGAGTGGGTGTCACTGGTGAAGGACCAGGATCACTGCCCCTCCCAGCACCTCTTCCCAGGCTCACCTCTGCCCGCTGGGTGCTGGGCTGGTGGGCATTGAGGATGGGGGCCACTGGGGGCAGTCCCTGGCCAAGAGCCTGTCGCCGGAGCCGAGGGGTCTGGAGACTATAGGACAAGGTCACCACAATGGCCCGAAGTTTGTCTTTGACATTGTCCTGAGGAGGGGAAAGATCGTTGCTCACTGGAACACCCCTGCCCCTATCCACATGCTAAGACCAGTGAGCAGGAGCTTCATCCATTGTACACCTTGAATACATCATTTTTAATCCCCTAAATAACTCCCCAACCCTACCCAAGACCCCAGCCAGACACAAAACACATTCTGAAACTTAGAGAAGTTTAGAAAGATTAAGGACAAAGATGGAGAACTGAGCAAGGAAGAAGGAGGAGAGACTACATTAGGGAAGGAAGGCAACCCAGGATTTAGGACACTGAGGACTAGATGTGAAAATGGAACCTGCCATCCCCACCTCCAGAGACTACAGGAGATACAAGAAAGCAGTCATGAGGAGAAGGTGAAGCCATAAGGGAGGTTTCTTGGAGTGATTCAGATCTCAGAAAGAGGTGTGAGTGTGTCAGAAGCAGCTAAGAGGAATAAAGGAGAAGACATGCGGTGAGAAGGACCACCAGGCCGGGAATTGGTKTCCACCTGAAGCTGGAACATGGTGTCTCCACAGACTCGGTCATGCTGGTRCTTCAGCCACACAGTGCCTGAGGCCTGGTGCTTAGGGTCATCTGGGCTACGGCTCAGGAAGGTCACACGCGGAACCTGGCCCCGGAGCCTCCTATCTGTGTCCCCATCTAATACATAATCCAGGGCTGTGGTGTGTGGGGAGAAGAGAGGGGCCATGAGTTGGGAACATCTCCCCCTGACTCTGTCCCCAAGGTTCCCTCCTCTCCATTCAGGAGTGACCCTCCCTGGAAACCCAATGAGATGACCAGAGGGAGAGGACCTCACTCACCCACAGTAGGGCTGTAGCTGCTGGGGACTGCAATATAGCTGAAACAGATCCTTAGGTCCACACTGTGGGGGCAAAGGGTGGCTTCTGAGCCAAACAAGGCTGATGTTCCAAGGTCCCAGGCCCACCCTTCCCATTCCTCCAGCTGGGAAACTGGAGAGAGTCAGGGACAGGAAAACTAGACCTGGCTTGCTCTGACCTCCTCGGACCCCGACTCACCAGACTGAGTGGCCACCAGCACAGTTGGGCTGTTCTAAGTCGATGGCTCGGGGAGCAATGAAGACCTCGTGGGAGACGTGGAGAACAGGCCTGGCCCTGGGGGAACAGGGAGTCCAGGGTACAAGAAACATGAGGACAGGAGGCTGGACACTCATTAGCTTCAGACTTGAAGTGGAAATCAGAGTTACAGGGAGGAGATGATGGCCTCAAGGAGGGAGAAGGCAGCCAAGAGGGAGGGGCTTACCTGAAGAGTGCAACAGTGTCCGCCAGGGAGCCCACCAGCAGGTCAGGGTAATGGTTCCCATCCACATCCAGGCCACCCGACAGAGAGTAGCCAAAGCTCTTGATGCCCACAGCCTCGCCCTCCAGCACCTGGGGACCAGCTGTCAGCCTCCTTCGCTGAACCCCGTCTCCCCCATCTGCCTCCCCTGCCCTCTGCAGCCCTTATTCCACCCACACCCATTCCCTCATCACCATGAGTCTCCTCACCTGTGAAGGTTTGATGACCACCCCCAGGCTGCTCCCATGGTAGATAAAGACCTTCCCATCCCCATCAAAGGGCGCTCCCACAGCGATATCTGAGGGTCATGGGGAAAAGGCATCACACTGGGGAAGGGGTGGACAAGGGTAGGCCCCAGTTTCCCTCAGGCACTYGGTCTGTATAATGAGTTTTCTTTTGTATTGGGAAACTACAAAGTCCCAGACACCTGGAATACATCATTTTTAATCCCCTAAATGACTCCCTTCAGTTGTTATTAGCTCAAAAAGGTCACAAAGCATAGTAAAGTTCATATGTGAACCCAGAATCCTCTCTCTAAGCCCTCAGAAGACCACCCCCCTGACCTCTGAGGGGCTTCCCCATTCCTCCCATGACCCCATCCCTCCACTGAATCTTTTCTGTTTCCAATCACACCTGGGAAGCCATCTTGGTTGAGGTCCCCCAGGACAGCCAAGCTGATCCCGAACATGGAGTCAGGGGAACCACAGAGCCGGAGTGGGGAGACCCCTGTCCAGTGACCACCCTGGTTCATGTACACATACACAGCTCCCCCCAGCTCTTCTTGGCGCTCAAAGAAGTAAGGGGCACCCACTATCAGGTCTGGCCAGCTATGGAGAAAGGGAGACAGTCAGTGTGGGGTCCTCCTAGGCCAACAGAGTCAAGAGAAGATGCCCAAGGTCACTTATACCTCCTGGACCCAGCGCCCCCTAGACCCCACTCCCCTTGCCCACTCTCACCCATCATTATTCAGATCTGCCACAGCCAGCGAGTAGCCAAAGCCAGAGGTCAGACGCTCTCCAGAGAGCATCACTTCGGGTACTAGGCGACTGGCACTGTCTTTGCGCAGAATGACTACAGCACCCTTGTGGTTGGCACGGGGGGCCCCTGCCACAAAGCTCAGCTCTTCTGCTCGCACCAGACCCTTCCCAGAGTCAATGGAGAATCCTAGGAATGAGGGATGACATACCAGTTAGTGTTTCCCTAAGATTCAGAAGCCGGGTGCACCCCAGCTACCCCCACCCTGCCTGAGTCTAATAGGTCTGGAGCTAGAAGGTAAAGGTGCCCCCAAGTCATCACCACCATAGCTGGACTGCTCTTCCTCCCCCTCCAGTGGTCTGGCAGCCCTCCCACACTCTCCTGACCCAGAGACTAGAGTTTGGCACAAGAATTGTGATGAGGTCAGCCTCAGGGACTAAAGAGGAGGAAAAAAAAGTAATGACAGAGAAGCCCAGATGACCAGCGGTGGGAGGGGCACAGTGTCAGGAGCTGGGCTGAGGCAATACCTGTATCTACACACCCTAGGAGGCCCCAGTCCCACCCAGTGCACCTTCTTTGGCCCCACTCCCACCACACTGACAGGAGAAGACTTCACGTGGATGGGAGGGAGACACAGACAAGCAAGGAAGAGCCTGCTTCACCCAAATGTCTCTCAGGCCTCTCCTTCTCCTCCTTAGCAGAGGGATGTAGATGAGACAATGGGGGGACTTACCAACAAACTAGACCATTCTCCAGCCTGAGCCYACCATCAACCCCTCAGAGAAAGGCCCCCCAGAGGTCAGCACTGTCCTTCCCAGGACAGTCTCAGCCCTTTCTCTGTCATTTCATCAGGATCTTCCTCCATGAAGACCCCTCACTCACAGCCCCCAAGGCCGTGACCCTTGGAGTCTCCTCTTCTTGGGTCTAGTGACTAGGCGCTCAAAGGTCTTCTCTGTAATTTGGGCCCTGGGTGCGTATTGGTGGGGCAAGGCAGGAAAAGAAGGTTCCCTGGGGAGAGGGGAGGCCAGGGCCAAGCCCCCAGGGCCCAGGAAATGGGAGCTTACAAACCTAAGTAGCTATTCAAGGCCAAGTCTCCGGCTGGTCCTGGAAGCCGGTCAGCAGGATCCAAAGTTTTATACACCAGCTGGTCAGGGTCTGAGCTATCAATGTTGGTCACAAAAAGCAACCCTGTGGGGGTGAGGGGGAGGTGGGGAAGAGACACCAGGGAAGGGACATCCAGAGGAAGGATCACAGAGCAAGGARAGAGAGCCAGACAGAAAGGCCAGAAGAAGATGGAAGAGGAAGAGGTGGAGGAAGAAAATGAGAGAGATGAAGAGAACAGAGAGATAAGAAAGACAGGGTGAGAGACGGACAGAGACAGAGACAGAAGGTTGGGAGCATGGAGGGTGGGGAGGACGAGAGAGGAGCAGAGGGTTAGAGCCGCTGTGGGCCAGGGAAGGGTCCCTACCAAAGTAGCTGTTGGCAGGGACCGGGATGAGGCGGGGGTCCTGCTCCTTCTCACCCCCCGCCTCGTAGGGCCCGTCGTCCAGGTGTGCCAGGTCCGCTGAGCCCTGCACACAGAGCTCCACCCTGGCTGTGCCTGCAAGGACAGTCCTGTTAGTGCCTGAAGCAGGGAGCAAGGAGCACCCCGCAGGTGGGACACTGAGTTAGGCACATGAGGACACCMCTCCTCTCCTTTCCAGCCCCATCTTCACCCCCCTCCCTAACCCAAGCATGCTGGGGTCCCCTGGACTTGGCATCACACACTCACCGAGTGTCAGCTCAGCCAACAGCAGCGTGCGGAGGCAGGAATGGCAGTGATGAGGGCTGGGCTGCATGTCGGAGCAAGCAGGCCCTAGCTGGGTGGGCAGACCCAGCTGTGCATGTGGGGGCTCATGCCAGCATGTGGAGGAACATTTGGCCATGCAAGGAGAGAAGATACCCCGTTCATGTGTGTGGTGGCATGATGTGGGTGGAAGGCATGGCAGTGCCCCAGGGCAAAATGCCAGTGAAAGCATGGTCATGCTTGGCCACCTGCTGCCTGCAACCCCATCTCTGGGGTAAGAGGAGGTTTTGGTCCCCTTTTCCCCACTCTCTAAGGAGTGACTCACCCTTCCAATTATAAGTTCCTGGAGCCCCAAAGAGGAGGTAGTGGCTGTCGGGGGAGAAGGCAGCAGCTGTGCCCTGCTGGCAGAAACCAAATTGTTCGTGGCCCTGGGGGCGCCCCTCACAGAACTTCCACTCCCCACCATCCAGCTCATCACGGATGGCCAAGTCCTGGCTTAGCACAAAGCATCGACCGATCACATCCCTCGTCTCCAGGATCTGGTCTACTCGCTGCCTCGACTCATATCGATGTGCACAGGTCTGTGAGAAGAAGGCAAGAAAAGTCATTTATTTCCTGTGTGGACCCAGGATCTGCATGCTACCCACATGCAGACATTTGGCAGACATATCACACACACATGCACATCACTGGAGCATACCGCCCAGCCAGTGTTAAGCAAGTCCTTGCATTACCCAGCATCCCGTCTGCATCTACTTCCTTGCCCTCTCAGAATGTCACCCTTATTCCACATTCTGCATAGGCACCCACAGACACAGAATATGTCCCTCCCTGGTCACAATCCTGCAATACGCTGAGCGTGGTCCTGTCCTTGGACCTTTTAAGGCCACCACTTCATTTACAAAGAACCTCCTTCTCTTTTCATTCCCCAGGCCTGACCTATTCTTGAAAGTCCAGGTCAAATCACTACACTACCAGAGTCCTTCCCTACTCCTTCTGTACTTATATGCTGGGGACTGGACCTCTCACTTAATGTTAACCATATTCAGCCCTGTGGCRACTTGTATTGAAAATTGTGTGCCTATGCATGTTAGTGAAAGGCCCAAAGAGACCTATAAAAGAGAGAATGAGGGTGGGGGTTGTAACTCAGTGGTAGAGCGCTTTGCTCACACGAATGAGGCCCTGGGTTCGATCCTCAGCACCACATAAAAAATAAATAAATAAAAATAAAGATATTGTATCTGAGGCCCAAAGAGACATATAAAAGAGAGAATGAGGGTGGGGGTTGTAACTCAGTGGCAGAGCGCTTGCCTAGCACGTATGAGGCACTGGGTTCGAGTCTCAGCACCACATAAAAATAAATAAATAAAATAAAGGTATTGTGTCCATCTACAACTAAAAATTTTTAATTAAAAAAAGATAATGTGTCCATCTATAACTAATATATATATATATATATATATATATATATATATATATATATTTAAAAAGAGAAAGAGAGAGAAAATGAGAATCCCCATGACTATTTGGCAGAAATCAGGCCTTCCACTGTCCTTATATTTCCTCTCTCAGTAACTAACACAGTTTCTTATGCTTAAAAGGTTCTCAATAACAGTTGGTAAACAGATGAGTGAAAGAACGGATGGTTAGATGTTTTTAGATTTTTAAGGAACAGGGACCGTGTCTTATACTTATTTATAATTGCCCTGGGAATCACACTATGTGTCCATCCTGTGCTCTGTAAGCACATCTGGGCATATGCACACAGATTACACAATCATCATCATAGTCATCATTWTCATCATCATCCTTGCATTCAGCCACAAGACGCAGTACTCACGACAATCTTGCCCCCAGGTCCCTGGCTCCGAACACTGACTCCCAACCACTGGTTCTCCTTGCTTTCCTTTTGCACATCAGCTGGAGGCAAAACACTGGGAATTAGGGACGAGAAAAGGAAGCCAAGTCCTCTTCCCCACTCCACCCAGCAGGGCCGCACCTCCTCGATCAATGTCCACTCTGTAGCAGTCAGTCTCCTCCAGGCTCAGAGGGCAAGCGAAGAGGCCTCCAGTGCGATTTGCCTGCTGCCCAGGAAGAGCTAGGGCCTGGGGAGCACCCACCAGCAGCCTGCATGATGGGGCAGAGGCCAGAGTTAGAGGTCAGTGTTCTCCAACCTCCCGTGAGCTGCCCAGGCCCAGGGGCCAAGCAGTGTTTAAGAACTAAAGAGAGGGAGAAAAAGGGATTTTTCTCAAATTCTGGTGAGAACAGACTAATACCCTTGGCCATACAAATGTCATGTTACATACTCTCTGGATGAAGGACCAACACACACAGCCTGACCAGCACTGCTTGTTTGAAAGAACCGCCTGTTCCCAGCACCTGTTCCTGTCTACRCCTTCCCTACCGACTGCTTGGCCCCATCCCCAGGCTCTACTCTCCTCCCCAACCCTCATTCAGTTGAAACCCTGCCAGAAATGCCAAGAATGCTGGGAGCAAAAGCAACAGGGGCCCAGAGTGACACCACAGTGTCACTCTGAAGCAGGCTTCTGAACCAGCTTCTGAAGCAARACAAGAAGCTAGATATGGGCCTTCCTCTCTCTCATCAGGGGCCCAGCAAATATACCCCCACCTGGACCCCCAACAACTCTGCCAGCCCAGGAAGAAGGGACAAGTTTCTCCTTCAGTGGCCAATCCTACCCCCATTCTCCTCCTCCCGACCTGAATCCCCTTCCCCATTCTTCCTTCTCCTCCCACAACCATGGTCCTCTCCTCTCTTCCCACCCCCTGCCCTCACCAAGTCTTCTCTCCACCTCCCTTTCAGCCTCTTTCCCAGCCACGGCTTTCTTGGCAGGACAATTTTCCATGATCACAGCCAAGGCATCTTCCCCAGGGGAGGACTGTACTGGGAATGGAAGCTTCCTGGGTCCCCCAGGGCTGAACCCCCAGGCCAGGAGTGAAAGAGGGATGAAGTGAGCCAGCAACTCCCAGCTGKCCACATGGGTCCTCTCTTTGCAGAAGGAAGCATTCAAAAGTGGCAGTAGGGGCTGGGGATGTGGCTCAAGTGGTAGCACGCTCGCCTGGCATTCGCGGGGCACTGGGTTCAATCCTCAGCACCACATAAAAATAAAAATAAAGATGTTGTGTCCACCGAAAAACTAAAAAATAAATATTTTTTTTAAAGTGGCAGTAGGACAAACCTTAAGGCTTCTTACCCACACTCTTATTCCACCCCCCTTCCTGGGGGGCAAGGCCCAAAACTACAGGGCAATATTACAGACAGTCATCTGTGGGGCACCATGCCAGTTCTGATGGGGTTGGGGAAGGCACAGAGCCATTCTCCCTTCCCACAACTCCTCCTCATCTCTTAGCAGCTGTCATCCCATGTCAGAGCCAGTGTCATAAGGGAGAAGGGGGATGGGGAGAAATAGGGAAGGGAATATACATTCAACATTCATTTAACAACTATTTATTGAGACCCTATCATATACCAAACCCTGTGTCAGGCACTAGTGAGACAAGGAAGTAGTATTATTCAGCACCTACTATGGGTCATAACCTAAGCTAGACACAAGGAATGTGAGAAAATAATGTTTATCATTCTCCAAATAAGTGTCAGGCATTGGGCAAAGCAAGTCACATTCATTATCCCATTAACCTCACAACAATCTTATGAGATAAGGATTCTTTTCTTGTCTTCCAGATTAGGAAACTCTATTCAAAGATATTAAAAAGTCTTGCTGGAATTCAAATCTACATCTGCTTAACTCCATTACTTAAGGTCATTTCACCGAATGATTGGCCTGTCTTCAGTACACTTAGACAACTGTAGGAAAGGAAAAGGAGGAAAGGGAAAGGAGGGTATCTTGCACACAAAAGAATCTAGATGACAGGGCCCTGTGCAAAAAAAATGTCAGCCTTTAGACTATTAAGCAGTGTCCCCAACCTCCAAACACAGGAAGCATGGGGCTGTCTTATTCATCTTTGTGCTTACCTCATAGGAAGTGTCAAGATGAGCTGGGGATGTAGCTCAGTGGTAGAGTGTTTGCCTGGCATGCCCAAAGCCCTGGGTTCAATGCCTAGTACCACAAAGTGGACTCACAGAGACACCCAATACCTCAGCTGGTCGGGATATAGCTAAGCACACAGAGAAGCTGAAGTGTTTCATGCTTACATTTCCCCTAGAAGATAGGAGTAGGGAGGAAGGGAGGGGCCTATATGGAGAAAGGAAAGTAAGTGCATAGACAAGCCTAACGCTGCTCTTGATAGAGAAGAAATCAGCCAATTCTTTCTGGAACAAGAGCACGCACACATGGCCTCTTCTTCCCCTCCACCTCTGCCCCAGCCACACCTTCCTGGCTCCATCCCATGAGTCCCAGCAGCCCAGGCCCCCAGACAGAACAATAGTCGCAGCTGCACCCACCACAGAGAGGATAAAAGGTTGRCAGCTGGAGGTAGAGAGACCCTTGGGGGCCCAGCTAAGTGCAAAAGAAGGAGTAGCCCAGGGCTGGGGTTGTGGCTCAGCAGTAGTGCTTGCCTAGCATGCGTGAGGCACTGGGTTCGATCCTCAGCACTACATAAAGTAAAAAGAAAGACATTGTGTCCACCTATAATTAAAAATAAATAAATGTTTTTTWAAAAAAGAAGAGTAGCCCAATACCCCTGAACTTCTCAATTCTCCACACATGTCAGAGCTCCAGCCTAAGTCTGGCCCCTTTCTGACCCCTTTCAACCTGGGTGGCCCACTGGAAAGGCTATTTTACCCAGCAGGTTGGTTCAGCTTTGGGGGGCCTCAAAGCCTTTGGATTCAGGATCTCTGTAAGGCACTAAAACTAGCCTCTGTGGATCACAGTACAAAAATAGCCAAACTACAAACACTTTCATAGTAMCTGTTATAGGCTGTGAACTATTCTAAGCATTTTATATATATTAAGAACTCTTAGGGCTGGGGCTTTAGCTCAGTGGTAGAGTGCTTGCCTAGCATGGGTGAAGCACTGGGCTTGATTCTCAGCACTGCATATA